ATGTGTATGCGGATGAGAGATTGCCTATTAAACATTACAGTACCATTTACATTAATCGGCGTGCTGGACTGTATCATGTCATTAGCAACCCATTTATAGTTTAAGTTTTGCTTCACAGATTCAAATCAGTTGAGCAGAAAACCTGCAACAGTTTCTATAATTAAAAGCAAACATGCTTAAATTTGGCTGCCTCAATATTCCTAAATATCAATGCTCAGACAAAATATATCAACTTTCGGTGAAGCGTTATGAAGCAAATTATTGACAAATTAAGCAAATTAACTGCCATTAGTTGCACCTCTACAATCAGTATAAAAACGATATATTGTTTCTATCTGACTTAATAGAATTGCATCTACTGTAAAATTAAGGGGAAGTTCAACTTCCCTTCTCCTCATTCAGTCTCTTTAGTTCAAAAGGAACCTATTCTCTTTTTAAAATCTTGATGTACTATTCGTAAAACACTAAGTTTATGTTTGTGACATAAAATCATGTAGCTGCATTCAGTCATGTGATATAGTCTGATGTTATAAACCTACAATAAAATGCAATCTGTACAATGTTTGTGTTGGATCAATATAAGCAGGAGTACTGTAAAAGTCTTTTATTCAACATTTTCTTTCAAGGCTTAGGGAGGGGTGTTAACCAAGGGCAGCAAACTTGGGGAGGTCACTACTTAGTAAAGTCCATTTGAGGGCAAGAAATATTTGAATAAAAATGTTGGCCTTCTACATTGCATTTGGCTTCTGAAACTTGCCCATAAAATATGAATCCAATGTGACCTTCTACAATTTATCGATTAAACTATCTTCCCACACAAACAAATAGGAGTCAGCCCTTTCGCATTTTACTCCAAAGTCATATAAGTAGCAGTAGTAAAGAAAACAGGGTTTGTATTTAAGACTGCAGCCGTTTGTGTCCTGCGGAGAGTGACAGCAGTTTGTACCTCAGCATCAGTTGTCAGCAAATTATGATGAAAGTCTGAATGAGTCCCATCCACATAAAGAAAGTACATGTGAAGATTTTGTGACTTAAAAAAACATGAACCAAGAGAAGGGAGAATTTGTGCTCCCTGAAATCCCAGTTCTTTCCTTCTTAGTCAGCTGTAGTGGGTAAAAAAAAAAAAAAGAAAAAAGACAGGGGTATGTTCCAGAGTTTAGAAATGACACTGGCATTCTGTCTTAGACTGGCCAACAGGGCAGACTTTCTGGCTGACAGAGGGTTGATGGAGGAAACGTTCTTGAGGATAATGGGTGGGAAAAAGGGATTGGACCATCAACAAGACTAAGACTTCTTGGAGTCCTGTGTGTTGCGTTTCTTGAGGTCACTCAGGTCCACTGGTGTGAAAGCTGCAAGATTAGACAGAAACAATCTGTTACCTGGGATGTACTTGACTGATATAATCATTCAGTGTGACATAAAAATAAATCCACATCACTATTAAGTTACACAGAAACTTACAATGCAGGTTAGGATTTGGGTTCTTCTCGACATACTCCTGTGGTCCACGGTCATTACGTTCACTATTTTGTGTTGATCTGATGTCTCTGAGCACACACTGCCAGGCTGTGGAAGAGTAAACACAATGTTGTGTTCAAGCTAGGAAATTACTTGTTAGTAATGATATTAGACAAACTTCAGATAAATAAAAAACAGTGATGTGGCTTTTGGTAACTTGCAAACTTACTCTGTAGCTCATTTTTAAGTAACACTCAATATAAACTTATGTTTCTGTTTTTTTTTTATAAAACAGGGTGAAAATGTGGCAATGCCATTGCCCTTGTAATGGAAAAGGTAAAATTAATTATTTTAAACTTTATGAGTGTTGCTGTGTTTTGCCAATACGAAGTTGTATTTGCTGTGTATAAAATAATCTGATTGATGTGTTTTTCTGTTATTGTGTTCTGGAAACAGAACTATACTGTATGACTATAATCAGCTGGGTAAATAGGTACAGTGCATCCAGAAAGTATTCACAGCACTTAACTTTTTCCACATTTTGTTAGATTACAGCCTTATTCAAAAATGGATTAAATTCATTATTGTCCTCAAAATTCTACAAATAATACCCCATAATGACAATGTGAAAAAAGTTTGAAATCTTTGCAAATTTATTAAAAATAAAAAATGAAAAAAAATCACATGTACATAAGTATTCACAGCCTTTGCTCAATACTTTGTTGAAGCACCTTTAGCACCAATTACAGCCTCAAGTCTTTTTGAGTATGATGCTACAAGCTTGGCACACCTATTTTTGGGCAGTTTCTACCATTCTTCTTTGCAGTACCCCTCAGCTCCATCAGGTTGGATGGGGAGCATCGGTGCACAGCCATTTTCAGATCTCTCCAGAGATGTTCAATCGGGTTCAAGGCTGGGCTCAGGCTGGGCCACACAAGGACATTCACAGTTGTTGTCCTTTGTCAAGGATGTGTCTGTACATTGCTGCAGTCACTGTTCCCTCGATCCTGACTCGTCTCCCAGTTCCTGCCGCCGAAAAACATCCCCACAGCATGATGCTGCCACCACCATACTTCACTGTAGGGATGGTGTTGGCCAGGTGGTGAGCGATGCCTGGTTTCTTCCAGACATGACACTTGGCATTCAGGCCAAAGAGTTCAATCTTTGGTTCATCAGACCAGAGAGTTTTGTTTCTCGTGGTATGAGAATACTTCAGGTGCCTTTTGGCAAACTCCAGGCGGGCTGCCATGTGCCTTTTACTGAGGAGTGGTTTCCATCTGGCCACTATACCATTCAGGCCTGATTGGTGGAATGCTGCAGAGATGCTTGTTCTTCTGGAAGGTTCTCCTCTCTCTACAGAGAAATGCTGGAGCTCTTTCAGAGTGACCATCACGTTCTTGGACACCTCCCTGACTAAGGCCCTTCTCTCGTTCTTGGACACCTCCCTGACTAAGGCCCTTCTCTTTCACTGTATAGACTGTTGATCTGTACGTTTTTGTGTTAGTGAACAGTTTGTCTTTAGTAAGTTAGCCACATGAGTGGGTGTGTTTGTCTCATTATCGTTTCCTGAAAGACGTATATGTGCGATGTTAGCCTCCCTAAATATCAGCATGTTTCTCTGCCACTTCCCAGTTCACTGTGATCATGTATGGTTGTTGCCCTCACATTCCAGTGAGTGACAGATCTATCAACAATCATCCATTTAAAAAGAAAAATGGAATACAAGAAATTCAAACATAAATTATCTAAATACCTCAAAGTTTATCTTCCTGTTGCAGTTTTTGCTCCATGAAATTAACTTGGCCCAAAAATGTTTATGGGCAACATGGTTCAATTTGAACTCTAAGAGCTCTATTATTCTTATAAAAAAACTTCCATTATTCTGAAAGAATATTTGACCCATCAATCCTAGGTAGCATACTTACTGTCATGTATAAAGCGCACATTTTCCTCATGTGCCGGCGTGAAGAGCTCCCCACTGTTAGTAGGGGATCGGGGGCTTGAAGTCCGCTTGTAACTGTTCACCATCCTGGGAGCCGATGAGCTTCACAAACAAAAAAAAAACATCTAAATTAGCATCATTAGAGGCTTTTAACCAATGTTTGTTGCAAACTAAACTTTAGATTGTATTATTCTGTCTCCAAAGGCCAAAGAAGTACATCTCTAGAATTATATTTGTTAAAATATATAACTGTATAATTGTCACAATTACACAACTGTATTTGTGTATTAGCAGATAAGTGCAATAACGTTTTTCCAGACCTGGTCATTCTGTTTGCAGTCTGTGCTCGCTCCTCGCTCCTCTGTGGTGAGTGGATTTGAGAATACGAAGGCTCAGACGTCCTTGGCTAGATTCTAAAAATTAAAAACAGTGACAACTTCAGCATCCCCATATAATCTCAGAAGTCAGCTCCTGACATTGGTGGACTGTAAGTAAGCACATTTATTCACTTTACACAAGTACAATTTTGAGCTATTTGCACTTGAGTTTGTTTCTTTTCATGCAGCTTCATATTTCTACTCTAGTACATTTCAGAATGCAATACTGTACTTCTTACTATGCCAAATGTATCTGATAGTTTATAAAATATAAAGCTTTGTACTAAATTAGACTAACCAACAATATACTGTATGATTAGTGATTCATCAATAAGCTAATTTACAGAGAATTCATTTGTAAACATTTTGTTAATTGTCTAAAATAATTTTCCAAGCACAAATTCTAAATCAATTTTTCTCAACCAATTTTTAAAATAATTTTGAGGTTTGGACTATATTAAACAAAATAAGGATTATGAAGACGACACTGTGGGCTCAGGTTAATTGTGATGGCAAACAAACAATCAACTGATAAATAAGGGAAACAATCAGCAGAATAACCTAAAATAAAAATAATCACTATTATGATAATATACACAATAGTACAGAGTATAGTAACTATTTTGATAATCTATGGTTCAAGTTAGTTTTGAAAGAACATTAGTGAAACAATGCCAAATATAGTAACTAGACATTTAACTATTACAGTAAACTACTGACACTGCTCGTTAGCGCAGAGCTGAACTTGCTAGCTACCTGCAATGTAACAAAGTAAAATTTGTAACAAAACGGGTATTAAATCGTTGTTTCAAGCGTTAAATCAGTTTATATACAGTAAAGGTACGCTATGTGTGTGTGTGTAATAAAAAACAAATATTGACGTTAGCTAGCCAGGAGGCTTTTGTTTACGTTTTGACTTGAGTAGTTTTAGTAGTAGGCTACAAAGACAGACCCAGTGCTCAGATTTTCACGAACAAGAGTGTACATCGTGTCTAAAATAGCGTTTGTATTTTAGCATTCTTGCTCCTCCAGAGCTATGTTGGGAGAGACAGCCGACTATAGATTTGCTGACACCATAATTCCAGCTAACTTTAGCCAGCTAGCTACAGCAGTTAGCTGGTGATTTACATTATCTTGTCGCAACGTTAGCTTAAAACAGCTAACAGCTTATTAGCGTTGCCGGTACAACATATTTATTAGAAATAAGCCTGGCGTAATAATGCCAGTTTCCAAACTGTCAATTAAAGAAGACAGTGTTGTAATAGTCAACAAACCTTTTTTATCTTTCCTTTCGATTTCTTTTATTCAGAGACCGTGAACGCCGTTAGACCTGTCTAAAACGTTGCCAATGCCAACCAATCATTTCCGGGTAAAGAGACGGAAACGAAAGTGATCTCAAAACAATAACAGTCTGCTGATAATAAGAATAATCATACTTTAGTCTGGGCTATTTATTAAAATACAACAAAACTACAGATCTATGTACTAGCTGATTTACATGGTCTTTTCCCACCAGCTTTCTTTGAAAACCCCCATCTTAAAAATAAATAAATAAATAAACAGACTATTTTTCATTGCTTCTAATGTAAGCTATTTAGATTTTTACCCGATCGATACCACACCAGGATATTACTGTCCATAGTTCGCCATTAGCTAACACTGTGCATCTACCTGTTCATCTTCAGAATATACCTTTATTACTATTTTGGTTTCAGTGTATTATCACATATTTTAAAGCACCAGCAACAGAACCTGACTAAGCTGAGGGCTTGGCCCGTACCCCTGGTATAGTATCAGTGCTCTCCACAAAATGGTGGATGGCTGCAAAGCTACAGCTTGAAGTGAGCGTGATGAAAATGCTAATCTCTAATTAGCAAAATACATTTTCATTTTTAAACATACTCCTCAACAACAACGTCATATTTATAAAATGTTTCTTTATTCATGAAAATGTACAAAAATAAGACTTTCATTCATGTTTCTAGCACAGAAAACAGCAGCAGTAGGCCTTCGTTAAGAAATGTTGCAGCAGAAGTGCTGGTACAAAATAAACTTTGTGTGTTTTAATTTCTGATTTATACATAAGGATAAGGATAATCACCTTTATTGGCCAAGTATGTTACACACAAGGAATTTGTTTCCAGTACAGAACTGAGGAAGCCATCTGCGGCGCCGACTCACCCTGATGGCTCTAACCACTGGGGGTAACTTGGGGGTTCAGTGTCTTGCCCAAGGACACTTTGACATGTGGACTACAGGCACTGAGATTCGAACCTTCAGTTGGAGACGACTGCTCTACCCACTGAACCACAGTCACCCCACAACCACAGTCGCCCCACATATAGTATCAGTTGCTAATTTGGATGATCCTCTTTCTGCCCAGCAGTGAGGATACATAAATCTAGAGTTTTCTGTAAGATACATCTCAGCCCATAAGTGTAAATTCAAAACATAGCCATGACTGGGAAACGTAGTGAAAGTTCAGCCAGCTGTTGCTGAGCACTAATACAGTTGATACAACACTTAATCTGAAACAGTCTTCAGAAATGAATAACTATTCAGACCAAGACTATTGACAAGATGACAGTTTGATTCAGTGACACATTGCTGGTATTCTGTCACATCAGCAGAGTGAAGACAAATATTCACAAATTAACATTTAAAGTATGCTACACTGGCAGTATGATAAACACACAAATGTACAAAGTAAAATAAAATACCAGAAAAAAAGTTATAATAGAAAATAGTAATAATCTCATAGCATCTTTGCTACTCTTTTGAAACCAACCAACAGAACCTGCACCTTGCTCCATAGCCCAAGTTGTGGCTACAGTATGTTCTTCCACCCTGTTACAAACTTGTTGGATATTGTATACCATTAAATATGTTCTTTTAAATCGTTTCTGTCTCCTTTGTGGTTGTTCTCTCATGGGTCCTTTGCCATTGCAAACAGTTTGGCCAGTTCTTTGCAGTCTGGGTCAATTAGGTCTGCAGGCTTCTCTCCCTTTTCATTCTCTGCCTCTGTATTGGCTCCAATTGACAGCAGATAACTGAGTGAAGAATGAAGGAGAACATTTTTATTTAACAGAGGTTCTCAGATATGCAAAACACCACAGTTTACTGCAACTGATCTTATTAAATGGTAGTGGTTTTTGGTTTCATGGTTTCAACTCAGAGACCTAGTGACACTGCATGTGCTCAATTCATTCTCCATGTTATTCAAAACAAATATAGTTGGACATTCCAAATTTTAAAAAGTTAAGTGCTACCTGGCAATTTCTGGGTAGCCATCACTGCAGGCCATGTGAAGTGGCGTCCAGCCATCTTCGTCTCTCTGATTAACATCAGCTTCATATTTTACCAGCAGCTTCACCACCTCCAGGTTTCCTGTTAGCACAGCTTCATGTAGTGCTGCCATACCTGCACACAAGACCACATCAGTCCTCTGCAGCGGAACCGTGGACAGCCATGCAGTCAAGTCACTGTTTAACATGTGTGGCAATATTATCAGTCTAATTAGTTTAAGTTTTGAGTGCCTGCAGGGAATCATGCCAGACAACGTGTAGACAAAGTAGAAGCTGTAAAGTCCTTGCTTACCCGAGGGGAAGATTGTATCCACACGAACCTTCCTTGCTCTCATGAATCGACCAATTTGCTCCAGAGCTCCTTGGCGAACAATATCTTGGAAGATGATGTCATTGGGGAAGTGCACAGTTCTCTTTGCAGGCGTGGCTGGTTTATCAGATGCAGGGTCTTTCCGTGCTTGTGTGCGATGTGCTGAACTGTACCGTGACCCTCTGCTATAAGAAGGGGTGCATGTTGATGCAGCTTTGTAAGCGGATGTGTAATTTGTTTGGGTGCAATGTGTGTTATACTGTGTTGATGTGTATTTTGATGTAGAGGCATATGTGGATGTGAGTTGTGTCGGAGTGTGTGGTGGGGGGGTGTAATAGGCAGGCGTGTGATATGTTGGTGTGTACTGTGAACTGCGTGTGTACGTTGACACTGGTACATGGTAGTTGTACTTCATCCCTGCAGTGGTTGCAGCTCTGCTTCACCCTATGCTGTCAGACCAGGAGTAGGGAAGAGAGAAACCCAAGAGAACTCACCAATCCAATAAAAGCTCAGTATCCTTTGTTCTGCGTGTTTTTTTGTCGTCTCTTATTCCTTTAGTTTCCAGCTGCAGCAGCTCCTGCTGTTACTGCAAGACACAAACGCTTTTCAAATCCTTTGCTTCACTCCAATATGTCCCAGTCCCCTTCTTTAAAGTCATATGACCTTCTTTTCCTCTCCTGATGTGACTTTTCTCCTCAGAATCCTCGTCTGATGGGACAAGTGAGAGAGGACCCCTTTATACCCTCTGCGAGACTATTTTGGGGCCTAATATCAAGTGTCGCCAGCTTAGAAATGAGTGGCCCTTGTCCGGCTACTCCCATTTTACAGTCATATGCTCAGTGACACTACACCCCTAGATCATACAAATGTTGACAGGCAAAATGTTTTCTTTGAGTCTTGCTTGAAACTTTTTCCCACATAAACATCTAACCAACTAAAGATAGATGTCAGAGTGAAACACTGAGGCTCCAATGTATATTTGTAAGAGGCTTGGAAGGAAGTTATTTGCTCATTTTAGGATATTACAAGCAGTAATATGTGCCACTTTTCTGTGAATTATAGTCTCTTAGTGCTATCAATGTGAGTGATGTATTGCACAACCTATCAACTACAGCAAACAACAACAGAACATGATTTAATTTTGTCATGTGTTGCTGACTGGTCTGGCTCCAGAGTCAGTTTCCAGAGATTCAAAGTGCTTTTGCTCAGCTTGTCTGTGTTCCCGCTCATGTTCTCCCATGACCTGCAAGTCAGTCATGTGACACTTCATGCTTTCCCTTTACACCATAACCAGATACACCAATAAAAGTCTCCTAATGGGGGGATTATCTGTGGGAGTGCAGTCATGACCAGCTGAGGGGGGGCAAAGCAGCTAAATTCAGCCTTTTCCTTCAAACGCCACTGAAAAGTCACATGGTTGCAGCTATTTACAACAGTAAACATTTGCCATGCATGACATGTAGAGAAATGACAACTTACTAAATAAGCTCAGTGCATCATATAGACCAAATTGTTGCCTTTTCCCCAACTGAAATCCTATTGATATCGATGACTGTATGTGTCGGTAAAATCAATTTCTATATTTCAAATGGAAAATGTAGAGTAACACCGTAACTACCGTAGCGGTAGTGGCACCAGCTGTCCTTGGTAGAATTCTAATATGGGCTGGAACTGGCTCTCAAAGCCACTATTACACTGGCAGCACTGTAACAGAAGTAGATCAGCTGCCATGCTCACACTGTTGTTTCTCAGCACAACTTCAGTACCTTAAGAAATTATCTTGCTCCAGAGTTTGATCTCCTCTGGTTTAATTATAATCTCTGGTAATTTGTTGTAGCTTTCTGATGTGGTGTTGCACATTTCTACATATACATCACTTTAAGGCCATTATCAGTTAATTTCTTTAATGTGAAGAGCTGAGCTACCACAAATCATTTCATCATCTTCCTCCACTACTGGTCCCTAAACGGGGGGTGGGGTGGGGCAGGGTGAAAGAGGCTTAAAGCTAATGTCCTGACAAACTGAAGTGAGAGTATCTGAATATTTCACAGCTTGAGGAAGAGATTTTTAGAAGCAGCCATCAGGTTTCACTGTCTCTTAAATGGCAGTAAGGGGGTGCAGCGGTGTCCCTGAGCAAAGGTGACACTCCCTTCAAGTTTTCTTTGCTCCTCAGCACAGCAGCTTTATCTGCAGAAGAAATGAGAACCTCAGCTGGTGGAAAATGTTGTTTTGTCACAGGCCCACTCTGGGACACATGCCAGGGAGGGGTCTCACAGACCTCTTGCTAATAGTCTCCAGCTGCCCTCCTCTGCCCTTAGGTGTGCATGTTATGATATGTCAAATCACCAGCATTCAGGTGTATGGAGCACATCCAAAGGCATTATTAGTAACAATAATCACTGACAGAGTTAATGTGAAGAGATTTCACCTTTCAGCAGTGTCACTGAGTGAGTCAGCACACTCCCTAATATGTACTGCAAATGATTTAAACAAAAAAATCTGAGGTTTTGGAAACTTCTCTTTTTTTTGCTGAGTGTTAGATCTCATTTCTGTAAGGTAAATAAAAACTCACAGGTGCCTAACCTAGCTTAGCACAGTGCCTGGAAACAAAGGCAAACAGTCTCGTTCTGTCCAAAGTTACCAAAATCTGCCTGTCAGCACCTCTAAAGCTCCCCATTGTGCAGTTTGTTTGTTTGTAAACATACAAACAGTCTAAATTAACTGTTCATTACAGTCACTGACAAGTTCTGTTTTTTGTGGTAGAATGGTCCTGTTGTGTTTCTTCTTCTTTTTTTTTATGGCCTTTTCTTTAGGACTCGGTTCTGAGAGACCTTCAGGCTTTCTCCTTCTGGGAGGCCAAGGTCCTGTGAATTTAACATGTTTGATTTACTCTAAACAAGTTATATTTGACTGTCAGCTTCTGCTCCATTTGTTTCACTTTCGTACAGGGTTAGGCACTTAGGGACAAAGAGTTCAGGAGCTGAAGCCAATTGAATAACAATTTTAATAGCAGGCTGTCACAGAGGCTTATCACTGGGCTATACATATTACAAAAAAAGCTGGCTATGCATTCCTAAACACTCACTGCCTTGTGTGATTGAGGTAAGAAGCAGTTTGCTTCTAAAAATAGGAGTTGCGTAGCACCATTTTTGTGTATAGCATGTTATGAATGCAGGCTGCCATCCTCATATTGTTGTCCAAAAGGTCAGTGTTACACAAGCCTTTTGTAGCTTTGAAAGTTCTCGTCCGTGCCTCTTGCAGGGTTAAACAAGCCTCTTCTCAGAAGCCACCCTGATGTCCTGGGTACATGCAGTCCCGTGTGTGACAACAGGAGCAATATGTTTCTCACCAGGGAGCGCATGAACACACGTGCATAACAGGACGGGACCCACTACATTAGAGTCTGTTTTTGTTTTCTGATATCGACATCTGAGGAAGCAGATGAGAGGAAGACCAGGAAGCATTGCATAAGGATAAGGATAAGAGGAAGCATTGCATAAAGATAAGGATAAGAGGAAGCATTGCAGCTCAAACCTTACATACTTCCTTATTTGTCAGATGAGTTGTGTTTCTGCTGCTTTAGTTCTTTGAAAGTAACCCTGCTAAATAACCTACTAGCAAAATATCAGGCACCACAGAACTATTGAAGTTACCTAGATGTAACTCTAGCTTTTTGAGTACATGTGTAGCCCTTTAACTCAGGGCCATTAGGGATGTGCTGCACCCAGTACTTTGAAAATTAATTTCCAGTTCTTCCATAGGGGCTGGAAAGTTGATTCAGCAGTAAATACAGTACAAGATCATCTATTAAAAAGCCACTATTACAAATGTAATTATTCAGATGTCGAGTAAATATCAATTTTGTTTTTTAATAGTTGAGACTGAAAATCAGGTCAGTGTACTTATTGGAACCCTGAATCACTAACAGGTTTATTCTGAGGTCAGATGTAATTTGTTGGTGCCCCTCACTCTGAGATGGAACTGTCTTCATTCTTTCATCCCGCTGCACATGATGTAACAAGTCTCCTTTCAGCCTAAGTGAGTATCTCCCATTCCCAGTGTGTGTGTGTTTTTTTTACCATCTTGCTTGTCTGGACTCTTTTTGTCCAAGATTTACTTACAGTTTGACATAAAAACCAGAGATAATCTCAGTTGAATCCAACTGACTGTTACAGAAGCAACAAAACTCAATGAGTTATCACTGTAGTCATATTTTACAGTAATCATGTTGTAAACAACTTGGCTTGTACAGTTCATTGTCATATTATTAACTCATTAACGCTTAAGCCAGTTTTGCACAAAACAGTCACATAGTTACATTAACCCTGAATCGAAGTTACATGTTTCTGTTCATGTTCATTTGTTGCCACAGAGAGCTGTCATTACATTATAATGTGTAAGGAAATGAATTGCTCTGTGAAATTCATGGGGATTTCAGGTAAACTGTAGATGTTAACAGAGTTTTAAAAAATTAATTAATGTCATAGCTATGTGTAGATCTAAACAGTAGCAGGTGCAGGCTGGTGAAGATGAATAAAGTCTGCCCACTGGTGTTTTTGTTCCAAATGAAACACGCCTCTTCAGGCTGCATCTACCTGTTGGCATAAGAAAGGGCAGAACATTTGAACCTGGGCACTGCTTGACTTCTCCTTAACACTTTTTCCAGCGACCTATGCAGCCCAAAATTAAAAGGCTTCCAGTACAGCTGTGAATAAACAGCACAAGAAGGTTCAAAGTGTTTCCAGAGTTATCAGTATTCCATCCAATGTAGCACAACTGAAAAGAAGGGAGCGAACTGCTGCCCCACCGATGGATGCTGGTGCTGGCATTGACCAAGCATAAAGAATACTGCCCTGGACAGAGGTACAGCAGTGGCAGTAAACAGGCACCACAGCTGTCAGGGACACAGCGAGAGCTAGAGAGCTTAGAGGGAGTGCGAATAGCACCATGGTTGGGTGACTGTTTTTGTGAGGATCAGGTTACATTAGTCAAAGCCTGCATCCATGGAAAAGGTGGTCAGAAGTTAAAGGTTGTGCATAATTTACTGATGCATGGTTGCACAATAAGAGCACATGTTTCAGTCTGGAAATGATCAACGGTCAGTGAGTGACATGTGTCTAGTGAATCTCCTCCACTGTTGCTGTGATCTGACCTGGTTGCACAAGGTTATAATGAATTAATTTCTTGGATCTATCAGAGCTTAAGCAATTAAAGCTGGAGGACATCAAACAGACGGACTTACTAGATCTAACCTTTACACAGCATATGAAGGACAATGGAGCATTAGTCTGGCCTGCAGCCTTTATACAGCACATCCAAACCAAAACCTAACAAATCTAGCAACTGTTTCGCTCCTTATCAATAAGACATACGTTGGTTTGTCAATAATGTAATGTTTCAGCAATGCTGTTTGTAAAATTTATATGGAAACACCTTTTTTATTACAGGAAGAGTAATGGTGTAAAAACACAAGAGCTAAAAACTCACCTATACCATAGTGTTTCTAATGCAGAAACAAGATGGATGAGGTCTACACAGTGACTCCATTGCTGCATGTGAAGGCTACAAACAGCACTGGCTCTGGAAGGCCAAGTCAAAAACAGGATATTCCCAGAATGCATGTCACAGGGGTCAATACTATAATTTTAGCACAGCAGCCAATGGCAGATCAGGGGTCGAAAGGCTGGGTACGGTTACATGGCAGAGACACAAGCAGGGTATGTGTGTTAATAAAGAGGGGATGAAGGACCGGGCCTGCAATCTATCACTCAGATGGGTGACAAAGGAAAGGAAAGTATCTCAGTAAGGTGTTGGGCCACCACCAGCACAGCTTCAGTGCACCTCGGCATTGACTCTGAGCTCTACTGGAGGGATCAACACCCTCCCTGGAACAGCTATTCCTTCATATGGCGTTTTGATGATGATGATAGAGACGCTGTTTAACACATCACTCCAAAATCTCCCATGGCTGTTCAACTGGGTTAAGATCTGGTGACTGTGAAGGCCACAGCATTTGATTCGCACCATTTTCATTCTCATCAGACCATTTACTGATCCCTCATGCCTTATGGATGTGGGGCACTGACATCCTGGAAGAGACCACTCATTTTTTCAGAGTTTTCCTTTAAGTTGTCACCGTCCCTGTGCAACACATCCAAGCCCTGTTTCTTAGTTACCGCACCACAGGCAACATAAGCATTAGGCATGTGACAGCATAACTCTCTGGTGGTGGTGGTGGTGGTGGTACGTGCCTTGTACAGTAATATGAATCTCAACGGTCTGTCATGGTACATGAAGTCACACGTCATAACTTAGGGAACAGTAGTAAATCTGCCATCTTTCCTGTGACAGGCAGGTTTAATCTGAAGGAAGTGTACAGTGTCTGAAATGACCCACATTAACACACTCAGCAGTTTTGTAGCAAACACTCAGGTTTAAATGGGTGTAACATATGTTTGTGATTTTGCCTTTTGGCCTTTGTATCTGAAAGTAGAATCAATGCCAGTTCAGGCTCATGCTTTTTACTGTTTACTTATCCTCCAACAGCCCATCTGACGATACTCTATAACTTACACTCCTGATATTCATGCAATACAGTGTCAGGTCCTGTGTGCCTGATCCACTGTTCCCTCCTCTCAGGGCTGACCTCCTGGTTAAATAATATAATTAATAAACCTAGAGTCAACTCAGACGTGCTTCTATACTCAGAGCAGGAGTGACTTTTCATTTTGGCACATTGGAGCTGAAAGCCAGATGCCCCTGAGGACCCTGAAGAGGCCAGGAAGAGAGCTCGGAGGCTGAAGGAACGGTGGAAATATCCTACCACACCCTGGTGTCACATATGATGTAAACATTCCTATAGACTTACCACAGCTGCAGTAATGAAGCTCAGAGGTGGAGGAGGTGAAAGGCAGTTCTGTGAACTGGCATAACTCCAGGCAGGCACATAATGAGCATGAACACTTCATGTTCAGGCCAGCCTATACCTTAGTCTGTGCTAAGAATGGAGATAAGAGTGTGCAGGCTGTGTCAGGTGTTACAGACTCCCACTAGGATTTGATCTGCTGGTCAGAGCTTAGTGTCAAAAAGCAGATCCACATAATCCAGACTGACGACAACCATGAACTGAGTGAACCTGATATATACCCTCAAATCAAGGTCCAGAGTAGGACTTGTATCATTCTCCATTTATTTTGATACCGGACAGAATGTCAGTGACATAAAATAAGGGGAGAGAGATGAGAGATGACCCCTGACTCAGTTTCTGCTCTCTGCCACTAGGACATATTTCAGAACTTCTAATTAACCGACACAGAGGTCATCTCAGTGAGGCGTCCTCAGCCCTTTGGTCTGCACAGTGCATTTACAATGGTTGGTTTAGTAAAACAGTTGTACGCTAAAGCACATACTGAAGGGATCGTTGTAATACTTTTTCATAATGCCATCATATAATCAATCACAATAATTTGGAACAGTTCTTAAGTAAAACACAAAGAACAGTCACAGACATTTCAGTGCTTTAAGCTCACTCGGAAATAACTGACAGTACTGCTGTAGCTTAATGCTGCAGTTTAAGGGGTCGACACGTCCAATATATGTATTGATAGTGTTATAGTCCAGAAGTCACGTAATCATTAGCTGGCTGGTTAATCAATTAAATCATTTTTAAAGCTGAATCATGAATATGCCCTTGTTCTGGTTTGTTAAATGTGAGGCTTTACTTTGTTTTAAATCTCTGTAAATACTCTATGTTTGGGTTTGTATTGTTGGTGAAACAAACCCATTAATCTGAATGAGGGTCTGGAACACTGTGACTATTTTATGACATTTTATAGACTAATTATTAAATAACTAATTCAAGAAAAATAATCAGAATCTTGAGCCAGAGAAAGTCTTCTGACCTTGGATGCAATGTGTCAGTCTTGTTTAAAACCAGTTAAATCACTTACACCAGTACAATGTGCCCTCCTCTGTCTTGTATTCATTGTGCTGCACAAAGACATGTCACACCTCAAGCGATGCACACCTTACAGCATTCTTTGAAGCTTTACAAACTGGAAAATGAAACCAGTATTTCCTGATGCTGATGGACAACACAGTGAACGTCCTGGTCACATTCAAAGAGCTCACGGCCAGATGGCACTAAAGCCCTTTTTCCAACGCATGGTACTGGCTCAACTTGACTAGACTCTACTTGACTAGACTCTACTCGACTAGACTCTACTCGCCTTATTTGCTTTTCCATCACCTAGTACCAAAGCCGAGTAGAGCTGAGCAGAGTTGAGTCGAGTTGAGCCGGTACCAGACGATGGAAAAGGGGCTTAGGTTTCAATGCAGTACCGCCCTCTAGTGGTTTAAATAGAAGGCACTGGTTCTCACACATGAAGAGGAGCTTGCTGAATGCACTCCCAGTCATACCACTGTAGAATAATCCCACTACTTTGATGACCTAAAAGGCCTTTCTTCTTGTTGTTTTCTGCCGCCAGTGGAAGGACAGAGTTTGAATGTATTTTCCTTCGTGGTCACAACACACATCCCCTGTCTGTGGTTTGGCAAGAAAACCAGCAGTGAAGGAAAGAAGCACTTAGTAAAAACATTTTATTTGCCCTTCAGTGGCAAAGCCAGTGAATTTACAGCGTGGAATGTTCTTCGCAAAGCGTTACAAAAATTTAAAAACGATCATTAGTGCTTCTGGCCGTTCAAGGTCTTTCAGCACAAAAGGCTCCAGCTGCATTAGGCTGGATTCACACAGACTCCTGTCCTGTGTAAAAGCAACACAAGGGGTTGCATTGGTGTCGCTTCATGTACCGGTGAGACAATGAAATACGATCTGGGAAGTGCAGCTGGAGAAACAGATTTATTATTAAAGCTTATCGCAGGCCAAAAACATGGCACAGTGCTTTGTAGCACTCCCAACTGTGGAATGTTATCAGAGCACCATCTCTTGCATATATGTGACAGACCAATGCAGTCTCAAGCAAGACAATGTCATGTTGCATTGCAGAACAACTTGAATCAAATTTTTGCATCACTGACCACCTCCTTTAAAATGATGCCCCCCCCTACTGTGTCTACACACTTCTCTGACTCTAATGAATGACATGAACTGTGTGTTTTTGTGCAGAGTAACAGTCTACGTGAATGCGACCTAGACAACCCAGATAAAGAAGAGAATAAACATTCTTGTTGGTCAGTTACCAGTCTGGCTTTTACTCATTTCCAGCTATGTTTACATCTGCAGTGTTGTCAACCTTGTCGTGATAGCAATCCTGGACAGTGTGTTCTCCCTGGCTAGCATGGTCACAGTGGTCTCCTTGGTCTCCTTGGTCTCCGTTGTGATCCGTATCATGATTCATTTGCACATATTCCACTGACCCCTGTTGAGAGGGGACAAAAATGAAACATGAGGCTGATATGAAGAAAAAAACGGTTCTAAACTGAGCTGGGTCAATGAAACTGAAACGGGGAACAAGATACCTACTACATGACAGTGATGCATGTTATCAACGTGCATGACAAACTGACTGCTTATAATTAGTTGTGGCTGATAAAATAACATCAGCTCATTCATCAGGTAGTGAGAATATGCAGGAACAGCTACAGTTTTGCACTGATATATTATGATGAGACAAAGCTAAATTCCTCACAACTCAAAAGAGCATGGTAATATTTCAATTTATCTGCTCCAACTAACTTCTTGAAGGTTTACTGGATGGTGTACAGGAAAAAAACGATGTCATTTGATACTAATTATAGGGAAATTATAATGGAAAAGACACAAAGTTCTAAAATTCTAAGCTTATTTAGTTCAGTTAGTTTACAGTAAAGCAGTTGTTGATTTCCTGAGAGAAGCGCTCTCTTCATTTATGGCTGTATGAGAGAACATTAAACAACCAATCTGACACGCAGTACTCCTGAATGTGATGGGTGAAATGGATGGAGTGAGCTTTTAATTATTTGGAATCAATCAGTCTGAAAGAGGACCATCTGAACATGATTAGTGTCAAAGTTACATGATTCTTAGGTAATTATTAGTAAGTTATCATGAATTTCTGAACCAGGAAAATAAAATGTTAAGCAGCGCCCTACACTTTCAGTTACCTGTCTACAAACAATACAAATTGACTCCATATGGTTTCCGTTTATTGTACTGTGGCTGTTTGTGAGAGGTTTCCCTGAGCAAACACACAATAGATTTATGAGTGTGTGTGTGTGTGTGTGTGTGCTCTGTATGCTTGATGTGTGTGCTGTTACTTACGCAGTCAGTCTGCTCTGGAACACCTGCAAAAACAAAACCAGAAGGGGGGCTTGTATAGCCATCAGCAGTCCCATGAACAGGCCCCTGCTCCCAGGAAACTGGGACACACACATTCACACTACGACTTTCAGATGGGTGACAAACTAAGGGAAAAACCTGAATAAGTGAGCGGTCTCCCCCAAGATGACAGTGTCCCGATCCATAGGACGTTCATAGCGGATGGTTTGATTAGGATGAAAATGATGTGAATCATATGCTGTGGCCTTCACAGTCACCAGATCTCAACACAGTTGAACAGCTATGGGACGAGTTAGATGGCATCTCCATGACCATCATCACAACACCACGAGGGAAAGATGGTGTCCATCCCTCCAATAGAGTTCAGAAACTTGGAGAGTCAATGCCAAGGAGCACTGAAGCTGCTCTGCTGGTGGCCCAGCACCTTACTGAGACATTTTATATTGGTTTTTCCTTTAATTCATCTCCCATCTGTACATGCTCATAAAGTTTTTTCCCACAAGTGCATCTCTTCTTTGAGCAAAAAAGCTACACTTCCTTTACTTCTGCCTCATCACTGTGTGACACATGATGGCATTTAAACAGACAGCAGCTCTTAGGAGCCAATGACTCAAGAATGGTCAGGAGTGTCCCTGTGAGGATCTAACAATGGAGTGTGTTGCTCAGTGTACACACTGTTTGGCTCCAATTGTTGGAACAGGAAATTCTATGACGACTGCAGGAAGTGGACACCTGGTGACTGAGCCCCGCTTTAATGGGACATTCTTTTACTAACAATGCAGATGTTTACAGTTGGAGCTGACCCTGTTTCCGGGCCCTTTTTTTCATTCATCAGTGAGTGGCCTGAATTGTCTCACCATGGAACATATGAAGGATTTGAATGAGGAGCAGAATGTTAGCTGTACCTTGCATAGAGGTCCTCACTTCGCTGTAAACTGTGTCTGTGCCCTTTTTCACTGGACCTGTCATGGAACAAATATGTAACTAAAGGTAAAAAATAACTCAGTTTTACTTTGTTTGTACAGCTACCAAATATAAAAACTCAGCAGCCGTTTCACCTCTGTTCGGATCTGCCTGTCTGGTCTGCACCTCTGTGTCCTGAGGTTCTACAGCGGTCACACTGTTCTGGTCATCAGACTCTGCAGCACAAAATAGTGGCCAGTTAAACTTAATATAACATCTCAGATTATAGCAAACAAATAAAGTAATATTTAAAGGATAAGGCTGGTGACAGTCAATATTTTTCTTTCTTGTTCAAAAAATTTCCATGACAGACCAAAACTGTGACCCCTAAATTCTGACAGAGATAAAACCTATGTCTGTCTCAACATAAAACATCTGTGAAACATGCATGACTTGTGAATTTCCCCCACAGTTATAATAAATACTGGCACTATGAATCAATTCTACAAACACTGCTGTGATGCTGTAAATATTCATTAGTGCACCAAATGTGTATTAATCCGCAGCTGAAACTAGTCCCCAACAAATACTTCATTTACTCCTGTTTTAATATTTTTTTTTAAAGACTACACTGCCTAGCTGTTTTAGGAAACTGGCCTTTTTATAAAAATGTGACAATATACTTGTGACATGTTCATAATGTTTACATCTTCAGGAGCCAACAGGCTTGGGGATGAGGATTATCCCCAATAGTCAATGTAGGGACATCCTAAACTACTTGTTAGCTTTGGTCTTTTCATGGGAGCTGTTGACAATAAGAAAAACACACAATAACATCCGTGTCTGAAAAATAAATATATGCAAACAATTAAAAACTATGTATACTCACCAGAGCCTGATACGTGTTCGCTCCAAACACTCTTT